ATGACAAATTTTTCCTCGATTTCTATATCAGCCATTGATATCAGCCAACATCTATACAAACACCAATTATAAATTAACTTTGACACATTGTCAGATTTGTTCTCTATTTATATGCAAAAATCTACAAACTTTCTCATCAAATTTAAACGCTTTAAGATGAACAGCTCTGACAAGGATTTTCTGTTATTTTTTTTTGTTATGTAATTTTTTGATAAATGCATAGGTTCCCTTCAAGTTAATTAAAAATAATTAAACAAATTATCGTTTTTTTTTTAAATTTTTGTTATTACCTACCTGATATGAAGCTCGTAGGAAAAATTTTGTTCCTAACACGTGCGCAAAGTGTCTTTTCCGCACGCAAACACGTATCCGAACTCCGCTTCGCGTCGTTCGTATAACTGTGTTTGCGTGCGGAAAAGTAACACTTTGCGCACTTGTTAGGAAAATAACTATTACCTACGAGCGTGCGGTAAAGTGCACTTTACCGCACGTATTTGCAAATGGAAAGTATCACTTTACCACACACTATGCGGTAAAGTGCACTTTACCGCATAGTGTGCGGTAAAGTTAACTTTACAGCATAGTATGCGGTAAAGTGGACTACAAAGTGTGCGGTAAAGTGCACTTTACCGCATAGTGTGCGGTAAAGTAAAATTTGATATTTTTAATCAGAAATCCTCTCTTTTTCAGAAAATGGATTTTTGATCATTTCTACATCTAATCTAATTTCATTAATTAATCTGATTCGATATTTAATTTTATCAATGCCTTTTTTTAGAGATGTAGATGCTCATAGGTAAAATTTTGTACCTAACACATGCGGAAAGTGCCGAAAAGTATCACTTTCCGCATTTGTTAGGTAAATAACTATTTCAAATTTCAGGGTTATGAAACAGAAAGCCGAGTTGCCAGAATGTGTAAAATATCTGAGTAAATTCAAATAGTAAAAATATTATTTTAATTGGAAGAGTTGTGGCGAGCTTTTATCAAACAATGTACTGAGATTTTTCCGTCACGATATTCTTCTTTTTCCTGGTCCTCTCTATCCAAATATCTTCCCTTGCAGGATCGTATTGTAACAAAACCTTATCTTTTTGAAAGGGTTGTAAGGCATGGGAGGGTGGGTAAGATCTCGACAATTTTTACATAAGGCCATTTTTTGAGTAAGTGGTAATATACTTAAGCCTACAAATTCAGTTAGATAACCTCAATTATAGGTTACTAAAATGATGTATTAGAGAACCAATTCTGTAAAGCGTTTTCTTTAAAAATAATCATGTTGCCTTGCTTGAGTCCAATACCTCTCCATCAGAAGGGAGACATTAGAGCAAAATAGGGGAGATTTTGGACATGATCAAAGACATGGTGCATTAAATAAAAATAGTTTATTTCAAGGTGAAGGTAAAATATTATATTTCGCCAAGTAATTATTTTGAAAAATAACTAAAACAGATAAAAGATGCAAACCAAATTACGTCAAATCTAAATTGAAATAAATCATGTCTCTAAATCTCTTTCTTCTATCATTAATGGGAGATGGAAGTGAAGAAGTAATGTCGTACAAAGGAACCAAAGCTTAATCATCTTTAAGAACTGTGAATCTTATGAATCTATTTGATACAACGTGACGTTCCAAGAAGTTCACTTCATATCAATCAACTCTTCTTATAATTTTCGCTGCCTAATTTCTGACACTACTTTTACCGTAAACTTTGTTATTATAGAACATGTTTCTGGAAGTTCTTTGTAATCAAAATTTTTCTCGTCGTTGATGAAAATTAATTAATCTTCTGATAAATTATCTTTACATTCAATTCGATCCTCCTCCATATCCCTAATCGCTGTCTTCGGGAGTGTCAGTGGCAATCATGCATCTACCATCTATGGCGCAGGATAGTTTTTTGATGTTGATGGTTGTAGCTCTAGGTTCCCTTTTTGATGTGGATAGTTAGTTGCGGCTCTGGATATGAATAATTATAATAGATGGTGGGAGCCGGTTGATCCATTACGTGAGAGGAGGAAAAGTCTTCTTCTTTGAAGATGTTTCGATAAAATGGCATTATTTCAGTGCATCTAGAACCTGATTTTTTTGTTTGTTGGTGCAGCGGTTCTAGCCAAGAGCAGGGCTACTAACACCAATACCGACCAGTACTACTGTCAATTTGACATCCATCACATAGGTAGATTCATACCTCTATGATTCATACATATTAGATTTTCTGCCATAACAATTCAAAATTCCAGAACTTTTTCATTATGCTTTTTGAAAAAACACCGTTACCTACTTCAATCATGGTCTTGTTACTCTTGTTGAGATAAGGTAGGTAAGTTGTTGTCCGATACATTTTTGTGAACATTGTCTTCAAAACTTTAGTTGATCTGGAAAATAAAAGGAAATAATGATCGCGTTCTTCAGATCTTGAAAATTACATCGCGACTCAATGTGATGTTCTTGGTTACATACTGAAGAGTATATTCTATCCCACTTTGCATTTCCACAACTCCTTTTTCGAACATCGAATCCAATTTTCTTCTCTGCTTTGAAAGATAAATAAGTACAGACAGAAAAAATCTGCATATTTCCCAGATGGTTTGAATCAGATTTCTTCTTTTTTACTTCGAACTTTTTCTTCTTCCTAATTGAGTATTTACTGTCCACTTCTGGACAGATGCGTCTTCTTATTTTCTCCATGTTTTGTTTTTTATCATATTTGTTACCAACGTATCTGTCTATCTGTTAGGAGTTCTTCCCTTTTTTTTAACCTGGGACGCTACTCTGTTAATCCTGTCAATTGAATTAAGTTTGTTTGCTTAAAGAGTAATCTACTATTGTAGCTGATGGTCGAAAACCAACCTCTACCTGATAGCAAAAAAAAAAAGAAATTCATCAGAGGCTTTTTTGTCTAGGATGTTTTAAATTGGGTTTGCATCCTTCATGAATATAATTGAAGGGTTCTACCAATAGAATGCGCTTGGTTTTGGGCTTGATCACCCTCTCCTCGTTACGGTACCTTCATAATCATGTCTAGGTAAATTTTTACCTCAAACTTTGAGTCAATTTTTTTTATTTCTGAATCCCAATCAGAGATAGAGGTAATAAACTAGATCTGAGGCGGAATTCTGTAACGGATAGAGATCGTTATTGATATCGCTATGGCACTTGCTGTCTTCTCTCTTTTCGAAATCAATAGAGAGGGGACGTCAATAGAGATAGCGAAAATGTCGCTATTCGTTACAGAATCCCAGCCCTGGTATAACATCATGTCATGTCTATTGGTTGGTTGGTTGGTTGAGATGCAGAGTGAACAGGCCGGGTTAGGTGGCCCCAACACTGCAGCCATCGGTTTATTGTATTGTCCTGTTCGTCTATATAGTCAGTGAAAAGTTTCGTGACCTTGATTAGGTTTAAGAGCCTCTTCACCATGTTACTTTTGGTGAGTTTAGAGATAGGGTCTTCTGGCCCTATTTGTCTGTATCTCTACTAGCGTGAAGACTCACATTCGAAGACTATGTGGGTGGCGGTTTCATCCTCTTTGTCACAAAATCTGCATATGGGATCTTCTTGGAGGATGCCCATTGTGTGAAGGTGTTTTCTCAGGCTACAGTGTCTGATTTGATTCCCGTTTAGTTGTAGGATCTCTTCAGTAAGTTTAGGTGATGGTTGTTGTACCATTAGCTCACTGTGTCCGAGCTTCGGAAAAGTTTGCCAGTAGGTTTGGTGTTGTCTTCACACCCATTGGCTTATTTTTGTTCTTACCGATGATTTTGTGATGCCAATTGCCGATTCAGGACCAGTATAACTGGTTGCTGATCTTTCTTTTGCCAGAGCATCTGCTTTTTCATTTCTTTCAATTCCTTCATGCCCTCGCACCCATTTAAGGGTTACCTTGTTGGCCATACTTGGGTTTTCGAGGTTTTCCAAGCATTTCCAGACAAGTTTGGATTTTATTTCAAATCTGTTGAGTGCTTTGATCGACGCTCGACTGTCTGAGCAGTTAAGGATGTTTTTACTTGGGTATTCTCCCAAACAAGAGTCGATGGCATATATTTCTGCTTGGAATATAGTAGTGTATTCTTCCAGAGGTTGACTGATGTCGCATCTGGGAGTTTGTCCATATATTCCATCGCCGGTCCCAGTTTCTGTTTTGGAGCGGTCAGTAAACCTGACAATTTCTTGTTGAAGTGTTGCCTCGGTATTTCCTACTGCGACAATCTCGATACCAAAGGGTTTTCTGAGGGATTTTTTCGGCATCATATAGTCGCTACTCATGGGTAAAATCGGGTTTGTGATTTTAATGATGATTGCCGCATGTCCATTTGGTTTTGGGTTCCAGGTTTCGTTCAGCTGGAGACGATATGCCCCGATTCTAGCCTCCGTTTTGACTATAAGGTCAATTGGTGGGAGGTTTAGGATCATTTCCATACTTGCTGTTGGTTTGCTTTTCTGTGCACCGGTAATACAAAGACATGCAAGTCTCTGAATTTTGGCTAGCTCTGACTATGGATGACCTGGCCTAAAATGGGCCTCTGCCAGGTTTTAGGATAAAGACGGCTTTTACTTCTCTCCAGGACCTAGGAATATAGCTTGTTGCCAAGTTGGCTCTGCACAGCCTACAGAGGTGTGGTGCTAGAAGGTCCGCTGCCTCTTGTAGGAGTTCTGGTATTATTTGATCTGGTCCCGGTGATTTGAAGCTGTCAAATGAGCCTATTTCCCATTTTATGCCATCGTAAGTTACCGCTTTTTTTAGCAAGTTCCCAGTCCTCATTTTTCGCTCCATTACAGAAAGCGGAACGGCTTGATGGGTTTCTGCTATCAAAGTTCACTTCGGTGGACTCTGCAAAATGGGTTTGCAAGAAGTAAACCTAATGTTTCTTCCTCATCTATTAGTGTATGAATTGATTTACCTTAAGCTATGCAACTTGTTTTTTTATTTATTTATACTATGTATTACAATCAACCATTTCCACTTTTTTTCACACTCTATTTTTTCCTTTTTCAGAAAATACGATTCTGAAGCCTCAATGTTACACGACGAACTCAAAAAAGAAAAACAACACAAAGACAGACTGTCTCGTGAAAAAGAAGTCATCATGGCTGAAAAGTATGCAGTTGATAGCAATTTAGCTGACGTACGCTTAGAATTAGAACTAAAAGAAGAAAAACTTGCTTCTTTACAAAGAGAATTTGACGAAATCACCTGCGGAGGCAAAACCGAAGAAGAAGTCACCATCTTGCGCAAACAAAAAATTGATTGTGAACGTCGCCTGCAAGACCAAGAAGAGGAACTAGACGAACTTGCGGGACAAGTGCAACTTTTAGAACAAGCCAAACTGAGACTGGAAATGTCGCTGGAATCAATGCGAAAAGAGGCTAAGAAGGAAAGTCAAATGCGAGAAGAGGAGTTAGAGGAGGCTAGGTGTAACGCTCAAAAGAAAGTCAAAGCTTTGGAGCAGCAACTGGAAAATGAACACGAGGAACGTACTATCCTATTGAGAGAAAAGCACGAATTAGAAAGAAGACTACAAGCAGCCGCTGATATGGAACGGCAAGACCGTGCAGGGGATGAAGCCTTACTCCAACGACTAAAACGTGACTTGAAAAGAACGAAAGCTCTACTCAGAGATACCCAAGCTCAGCTAGAACGACAAAAAGCCGAAACGCCTGGCAAAAACATGATCAGGCAACTGAAAAACCAATTGGAGGACTTGGAGTGTGCCAGGGCAATTGCTCTTAAAACCAAACAAAGCTTGGAACAAGAATTGTCCGAAATGCAAGGGCTTTTGGACGAAGCTCACAGGCAAAAATCGGATTCCGAGGATAGGGCTAATGCAATGCAAAGGGAAAAATCCGATATTCAGACTCAGTTGGAAGAGAATGAAGAGGAATTGGCTGAGGTTTTGAAGAAATATAAAGCAGCAGTACAACAGGTAAAAATTTCTTCTATCTAAAACAAGTATTTGGTATTAGAGGATTAATATTGAATTTCTATTTCAATATTTCAACTTAATGTTTTTAATGATATTGGATTATCACAAGATGTTTTCTCTAGCGTAGTCGACGTTTGGTGTCCCCTTCAGGGATATCTAATGTAATTAGCCCTTATTGATATTTAAAAAAAAAAATACTTATATAAAAACTACAGGTCATTACGTTGGTTAGTATCCAAAAATTAGTATGACTACGAATTTAACGTATAGCACTGTTTTGACATTCTAATTTGTGTTTTTCTGTCATCATCTTTGATACATAAAGACCTATAGATACTTAGATGGTCTTTAATTTTTAATAGGTATTGGTGCTTAACTACACTTAGACATCTTTAAATATTTCTATTGAAAGAGTTATTTTTAGGTCAGCATTGAAAGAAAGACTATGTTTTTCCTCGCACTTAGTAATGTAAATATCTCGCTTTGCAGTAGGTTAAATATCTCTCACAGGAACTCATTATCATATTTTGAGCCTATCATTGGCTTTAAAGCTATTTAATTCTACTTTATTTCTTTTGAATATTTGATAACATGACCCTATTCTAGCTTGAACAGTAGTTTAAATAAGCTTCACGAGAGCTCTCTTCTTATCGTGGAGATATTATTTTTCGTTTCAATAGTTTATGCAAGAGCTTTTATTTCATTTTATAACTTTCTTTGCATTTCTAGATGTCAGTAGATCAGATGACCCTACAAGAACAAGTGTCTTTAGTGTCAGAGTTGGAAGTGGAAAGAAATCATCTGAAGGAACAATTAGCTGAGCTAAGTACAAGACTGGAAAGTGCTGAAAGTATGGGCGGAGCATCTTCTAATCTATTATACAAGAGGTAAGATGTTTTTTTGATTTCAAACGAAACTTAAATTACCAAAAAAAAATAATTTAAAGGTCCGAATTGAAAGTCAAAGAACTAGAATCCAAGCTGGACCTAGAACAAACCACCAGATCCAGGCTTGAAGTACAAATAACTCGTCTAAAGGAAACCGTGGAAAAACTCCAATCCGATATCACATCTGCCAGAGTCAAAGAACAACAAGCTCAAGATCAGGTTAGGAAAATGCAAAGGCAACTCAGAGAAATCAAAGAGGAACTTAACAAAAGCTTGGCTAAAGAATCGGAAGTTATTATTAAGAAAAAAGAGTTGGAAAAACGATGCGAAACCTTGGAAGCTGAGTCTTCTACTGCCAGAACTGATTTGCGGATTGCGTTGAAGAGGATCGAGGATCTTCAGTCTGCCATACAGGGAGAGTTGGAGGATAGTATATCAAATGAATCAGAAAGGTAATTGATTGCCTCTTATTCATTTCCTGTTTTAATTTCCGGTCTTCTATTTTTATAGCGAGGATAGCTACGGCTCGGACGAATCTGTCAACACATTTTTAGCAAATCATAAGATAGGATCTCCAATTAAGAATGAAAAGTCTTCTATTGCCAATGACGTTAGAAGGTAAGAACAAAACAATTTCTTTCAAATATTTAAAATTTCTAGGTAGTGTTTTGTTCAGTCTACCTTCAAAATTATCAACGTTTCAAAATTTGTTTGCAAAAAATCTGCTAAATATAAATGGGTTGTTATAAATGAACTTGCTGGAAGAACATCTTTCAAAAATTAGTCAGTCTTATGACATTTGCAAGTTTGACAGCTTAGCAGCTTGGTTCCTTTAAATATAATTCCTATAAAAAGCTTGTTTGTTGTATGTTGACAAACCAGCAATTTTATAAATGAGAATTAAAAAGTGAAGATTGGTTACGATAAAATTTTATTGTGCTGTCGCAGCAGCAGGTATTTAAGAGCGATTGGAGCGAAAAAAACAAATCGGCACCACAATTATGCCTGCGATTCGACAGTGAATACACTCTTAAGGTCGCTTTCATTCTCCTATATAGTAATTCATTTTGGTTTTAGTTATTTTTATTGTGAATGCCACTATGTTAAGGCTTTGTCAACAAGATTGTTTGCCTCTCTGCCAATTATTTTGATATTATTCGATTCTAAAATTAATTTTTGTCATGTGAGGTGCCTATGTTTAGAAGTAAGCAAGTTTCAATCAACATGAATAAAAAAATATCCAAATTAATTTGAGCTTTTGTGGGTATTACTATTAAAGAAAATCAAAAAATTCAGTAAATAAATATAAACAAGTTTTATTTAACAAAAATGCGTAACAATAAAGGGTAAATTCAGGTAGAACCACGCCCTGACGCTGGCTGCACTCGAAGTGATTCTCCCTCGCTTACACGCATGCTTATCGATGGTTGGCACGCCGTCACTTCATCCCTATTTTTTTCTACGATCAGCCGGCTTTGTGCTTTGTGATTTTGATAACAGTAAACAGTCGGCCACGCTATACAATCCACGTCCTTGTGGAAGCTCAAAGTTCCATCACAACCTGTTAAGATTCAATTCAATTAGTATATCAATATCACAAGTCAGCCTAACACAATCAGTCAGACATCCATATTTCAGCAATCATTACGCAGGGAAAAGGGGAGAAAACAAAGCATCACCCATCATACTTATTTCAGCCATTACACATATATACAGGGTGTCCCAGGGAAAACAGTCCACCCCGATTTATTGGATTTGGGATGAGAATCTGGAAAAACGCTCGGACACGTCGATCTTTGATTTGAGGGGGAAGTATTTTTCAGTTTTTTTCATTCCTGTAGGTTCAACCCTCTAGCTAGGGGGAGCACAACTCCTCAAATTTGAATAGGGGATAGGGGTCGTGTCATATCTCTTTTTGAAGGTCTTATGGATTTCTTTATGACCCTAGAATTTCATCTCATTATTTTCATCCGTAACGAAATGACAGCTTGTCAAAATCTTGGAAATGGACTATTGTTTTAGTGGGAGTAGAAGCGATACTTACCTCCCTTAATAAAAATACTTGAAATTGGAGTTTTTATTATTATTATTGATGAGGTGTACACGAGAATTGTAAATTGTAGGTATTTTTATTAAGGGACGTCAGTACCGCTTTTACTCCTACTAAAACAATAGTCTATTTCTAAGATTTTGGCAAGCTGTCATTTTGTTTCGGATGAAAATAATGAGATGAAATTCTAAGGCCATAGAGAACTCGATGAGAACTTTAAAAAGAGGTATGACATGACTCCTATTCCCTATTCAAATTCGGGGGGTTGTTCTCCCCCTAGCTAGGGGGTTGAAGCTACGGGGATGAAACAAACGGAAAAATAGTTCCCCCTCAAATCAAACATCGACGTGTCCGAGCGTTTTTCCAGATTCTCCTCCCAAATCTAATAAATCGGGGTGGACTGTTTTCCCTGGGACACCCTGTATTTATACACACATCAAAAACTCTCAACTAATTAATAGGTCAGTACTGCAACGAACATCTTACACAAAAATGAATAGATAATCTTCGCAAAATCATTTACAGAACTCTGCAAATTTTTTTTCTTATTCGGGTACCCACTAATCAAGCTCTATTCATAAGTTAATATGTTCGTGATATTGTTTACATTCACCTTTAACTGGCTATGGATATTATTGTTCTATTCACAGCTAAATCTTTTGTTCAGTATATAGCTACTACTTCTCAATAATTATCACATTTTATAGATACAGTTCTTCTGTAAACTAGCTATTTACATCATTTTTATCTGAGCTATACCAATATAAGTTCTCTACATGCATGAATCATTTATTGAATCATATTCAGATTCTGAGCTCACATTATCACATTGTAAGGTTTCAACTTGTCCAAGCATACGATTCTCTTGTATTTCTTCTGAGACTTTGAAGACCCTCTCAAATCTTCGATTACAAATCTATCATGATCCAGCACACTTGTTATCACATAGGGACCTGAATATTTTGGCGACAACTTTTTGCTTTGTCCCATATTAGTAGCCTGTATTGTTCTGGCTCCCATATAGCCAAATAATATTTTTTGAAGCTTCAAAAAATATTTTTTTTCGGATCAAATATATTTTTAAAACATCCAAATATCCATAAAACATATTTTTAGGACATTTTTTGAAAATTCTGCGGTAACGAATCGATATTTTTTGAATATCCATACGATATTTTTCAAATGTATTAGGAATATTTTTAGAAAGTATGAAAATGTTTTTTGAACATCATCGAAAAAAATAATAAAAATGCGGATTCAGAAACGATGTATTAAAAATGTTTCTATCTGTATGATATTTTTGAGAATATTTTAAAAACATTTTTAAAATATCCAAATATATTTTTAAAACGTCTTTTGGATATTTTATGGAACATTTAAAAAAAAAATGTAAATAAAATATTTTCCACACATTGAAAAAACTATATTGGTTTTGTGAACATCAAAACGATATTTAAAAAACATTTTTAAAATATTTTGAAAACATCATTCCAACATTTACGATGGTAATTTTCATGGGTAGGTGCCTATTAGGTAATTAAAACTCAGAATCAAACTCAGAAATATTTTTATTTGTGCATATGCTTCTGATCCAAGTTATTGCCCCTCAGTTCAGCACCTGCCTGGTTATGGCTTATTGCCATTCGAGCTGCGCCTAGCTCTTCCACAGCTCCTTTCTTCTTCCTGCAATAAGAAGTAATTTGTATGATTATAATTTATCAATATCATTTTTATAGATACAGGGTGTTCCAACGAGGATTGATCAAAGGCTTCTTTTCTTCTATCTTTCTTGTTACTCTCTTTGTATTTTTGAAAAAATCCAAAATACCTATCTCATGTTCCTGCAGAATTTAATTATTGTATCAAAAATCTTTGAACCAAAAACATAAGACACGCCATGGATGATGGCTATCTTGGATTCACACAAAAATACAGGGAGATTCAAGAAGAGGCTCCACGTTTCAAGTCCTGATATAAATACCACTTACCGTGGACCTCAATCGAAATCGCAATTATTCTCAAAGCCAAATAACGTACCTACACTCGCACACAAACCTCACAAAACGGAAGCAAAAGTTGGAAAAAATAAATAACATGGATACGCATCAAAATACTCAAAATAAATCAAATATATATTGACTTCACTCTAGCTGAACCCGACTCAAACTGAAACTACACATCACACGTCGGCGCCCGTCGCCTCGCCGCCGGGTTCCCCTCAAAAAGTAGCACAAAACTATTACCAGTGTTGCCAGAACCGTTTTATAAGCTTTCATGGGTTTCCAGAGGTCGTATTTTCGAATTCATTCGAGTACATTTCGTACACGAAATTTGATTGACAGCAATGTAAATTAAATGGGAAGCATTTGAAATCTTATGAAATTTTGTATGCGAGAATATTCGAAAATACGACCCCAAGGTAACGGTAGTTAATTTTTACTTCACCGTTACAGTGGTTACTTGGTTACTAGCTGACAACACTGCGAATTAATTCAAGCGGTAGCAAGTAGGTATATGGCGCCTAGAAACAGCAAACGGGCAAGCAAAGTCTGGACAAGTTAAATCAAATGAAAAGCTTTGTTTTGGTTCGAAAAAAGGACGGTTCTAGATTTTGTGGTTCTAGAACGGTCCAAAACAATCGCACAATTTATAATTGGAATTTTTGATAGCCGAGCCGTTCGAGCGATAGAGCGCGACTAAGGGCGGGTATTATAAAATTATTTTAACAGATAACTAAAAGTTAACTTTTGGAATTACTATGAGAAGTAACGTCATTCCAGAAGTTAACTTTAAGTTAGTCTGTCAACATAGTTTTATAAAACCCGCCCTAAGTCTCGAGCCAGACTCTAGAGACCGAATGTTTCAAAAATGTTCAGCAAATGTGGGGAAAAAAATATTCTTTTTATTATGTTTTTATGATGTTCAAAAAATATCCATTTAAAAATATTATTTTGGATATTTTTGTAAAACTAATGTTTTTTTGAATATATTTTAAAAACATTTTTTGAACATTTCCAAACCAATGTGTGGTCACAAATGTTGTTCGAATATTTTTAAAATATTTTGTGCTATATGGGCTAACACACAGTCACCTAGTCTTATACTTTTTCCCAGGAGAGCGTCCAGCAACTTTGACATTTTAAGTAGGTAGTTAATCAATTATAGCGTTTTCGTTAAGTTGCACCCTTTCTCATGTGGTGATTTCAAGTGCAACAAAAAAGTCATTTAGAGTAAAGTCCGTTTTTTTTTTAAAGAGAATTCCCCAAGTCAAAAATTTAGTAACTATGTTGGCAGCACAAGCCTTTTATACATAAAAAAATTGAAAGCATTGACAATTTTACATTGTATTGCCAACATAATGTCATTTTGACTTTTATCTTTAAATAAAAAACAGATTTTAAATTCACTCTACACTTTTCAAATAAGTCTCGGGCAGCAACATGAAAGCACCTCAACTTTGACAGTTTGAAAAAATCTAGTAGGCCATTTGCTTTCTTTGAACCATCAGAGACAGAGACAGCTTATGTCTTGAATTTTTCAGCTTGAGAGCCTGGAATAGACAAAATTA